GAGAGTTCAGAGAACGATAACCAGAATGATTGAAGGATGAGAACATACGAGGAAAGACTAGAGGATCTAGGGCGTTTCTCATTAGAACGAAGGACACCTGATAGAAACCTCCATAATCATAAAGGGAATATCGGGGCTAAGAGCGGACAGTCTCTTCACGTTAGCTCCCCAACACGGTACTCGGAAGCATGAGTTGAAGCTCATGAAGCAGATGTGTCGACTGAAACTGCCGAAGCACGTTTTCAGCAATAGGATAGTCGATAGTTGGAACCGGATTCCCAAGGAAATAGTCAACCTTAAATCAGAGGAGGCCTTTAAGACTGCATTTGATAGACAATGAGCGGAACTATTCCCGTCTCTGGCACTGTAGATGAGCGTAGGCATGCCACACGTTTGAATGCCATTTCCTTTTTGCATTGGTGCACGTAATGGAGCGCTCACGTCAAACAATTTACTCGCTAACTTGGTGACATGGGATCCCATTTCTGATTCTTATTTCAGTATAGCTGGGTGCACAAGTAGTGGGCTTATTATTGAAGGAATTCTGGACGCTCGACTGGCCGTGGCTATATCCATTCAGGTGAAGCCGATAAATCAGTCAATGTCTGCAGGACAGTGAAAAACGAACAATGAACATTCTGGAAAAATTCAGTCTGTCCGACTCATTTGCTGAAATTGTGATAAGGTGACCTAGGCCCGTCTACCTTTGCAGATTGACTTTGCCTAGGCTCATCAAAGTGGTGCCTTTTGATGAAGGCATTAAACATCACTTTCTACAGGAATAACGCAAAGCCAAACATATCTTCGCCATCGAGATAAAGTGCCACGAGAGCCGACCACGAGAAGAGAGATTGGTCATAAGGGCGCTCCCTCCCATCAGTAGTGATATTCCGGCGTCAAAAATATCTCCTACTCAGAACCCTTAAAAGAGCCAAAACCTCTGCCCGAGCTCCAAAAGGTTAAGCCAAAAAACGACTAGAAATCGGTTTTCTGTAGGCCGGATCCAGTCGACCACAGAACAGAAAATTGAAACCAGAGTTAACCATCCAAAGAGAGTCAACACACTGCGTGTACACCAACTCACAGAACCTAAATAATAACATCCCAGAGTTACAATCCTTGGCGTCAGTCAGCAATCCTAGTATCATAGGTATCATTTAAACATAGTTACACGAAGACTTACATGACGCAGAAATATCTCTCCCTGGAATGCATAGCTCTAGGAAGGACCGCACTAGCTTCAAAGGAGGAAGATGTATCCTTTACGTAGCCGAACATTTGCACCCCGATCAGGTGACTGATCCACAACTGGACTGCTGCCCAGAATCAGTGTGGGTTTCCTTTAAACCCAAAGGTTGCACAGTAACTTTGGTAGGAGTAGTCTACAGAGCGCCGAACTCACCAGCACCACAAGACTTTAGCATATTGTTGTCTATTAATAGAGCCGTAGAACTAGGGCCTGTGAACATACTGATTATGGGAGATTTCAATCTTCCGTTCATCGATTTGGCGCCCCAAAACGTCACCGGTCCAGCGGAGTCCATGCAGACTCGCTTTATAAAGCTATGTACCGAACTAGGACTAGTAGAGTACGTGCCACGGCCCACCATGTGGAATTCCGAAGGAGAATCATCCAAGCTGGATTACGTTCTTACTAACGACCCGCTACAAGTGAATGATATAGAGATACCAAATCCAGTAGGAAAAAGTGAACATGTTACGATCATGTTCCAATTCCTAGTGTGCAACACTAAAATGATAGACCAGTTACTCGCAGGGCCGAACTTCTACAGGGTAGATCATGAGAAATTCAACAGGGCTTGAGGAACACTTCCCTGGATGTAAAAATCAGGTGAAACGTCAGTTGATGAATTATGGCGCAGAATCCTAAAACTCTACAACTGACAATACAGGACCTAGTTCCTCTGCGCAAAGTCAAACCCGAGAATAGAAAAAAAACTTGGCTTAGGAGCACGAATAAGAAGCTGATCAGCTTAAGCAATCTTCATGGAATGGATACCAGTTGACTTAAAGGCTTGAAGACTTCGAGTCTCACAGGACGCTCAGAAACCGCCGAACCACGCTCCAACGCGTGGACAGAAGGCTCTACCAGCTCCAGCTATGCGAGAAAGCAAAGGAGAATCTCAAAGTGCTCTATTGACATTTAGCCCAGACTAGGACGGTTACTACTGGCATCACCAAAATAAAATCGGGAAATACTGAAAGCTCCTTTAACATTGAAGCCGCGGAAGCCTTAGTAGTGCACTTTGAAACCGTATTCATAATTGACCCACTATACACGGAACAACAGACAGTCGACTTTGCTTCGCCTAATCCAACCGATGTGCTCTCCGACACACATTTTGACAGATCCACCGTCGAAGCCAAGCTGCTCAATCACCGCCTAAACATATCTCCGGATCCGGATAGAATATCAGCAGTACTTCTCGAAAACTGTGCGAGGATTCTAAGTTCCCACCTTACACGACTGGTAACAGCATCCATGAACACAATAAAACTCTCATTTGATTGGAAAACCAGCACTGTAACTCCGATATACAAATCGGGATCCAGCACGAACCCATAAAACTATCGTCCGGTAGCCCTTCTTTCCGTACTTTCAAAAGTAATGGAAAGCATAATAGACGATGGAATAAGAGAATTTCTTAGACTCTCGAGCTTCTTCAATCCACAGCAGCAAGGATTTTGCAAAGGCCGGTTATGCTTCGCAGACCTCCTAACGGCGATAGAAGATTGAACAAGCGAAGGAGACATGGGGCCTCACCTCGACATTGGACAGTAACCTTGAGTACCCTAGAAGTAACGCTAGGTGGACCTCTGGACTGTTTACGCAATACACCTCGTAAGGCATGCAAACCGGTTCAGATAACTGACAACAAGTAACTAATGTGCAACACCATTAAAAGTAACCTACGAATCTCTTTTGCTCACACTTTCAGATTACAAGAATAAACGAATCCAAAACAGAACGTTCCGATCATTAGACTTTACCGTACAGATCAAGAACCAGGCAAAACTACAATCCAACGAGCTTCCTCCGTCTGTAAACTGGACATTGGACATTAGACATTCCGTCCTTTATGCCTGACCTGAACTAGATGAAGTCACTCAACGTATGGATGAGAAGCAAATGTAAAGTCTTCCGTTCAGACTTCCGTTGATTATTTACTCTGTCAGCCATCTATTGTTGGACTTCAAATTTTGGAGCCTAAGCATAGTAGGCAGAGCAAGGGATTCATTGTAGCCTTTCCAAGGAATCGCAAGTTAAGAGTCAATATAAGTGACCACATTCCTAACCATGAGATGGTTACAATGAGGGTTCCCCAAAGCTCAGCGCCAGACCCCTCGCTTTTTGTTGTATTCAATAACGATCTGGCACAAGATCTCCAAAATCCGTGTTTCATGTTTGCCGATAATGTCAAAATAACAGGTTTAAACCTGCAAACGGACCTAGAGATGGTCCATCGATGGTCGATCAAGTGGGACCTACCTTTGAATCTAACTAATTGTCTGCTCTTAGCAACGAGAACTGGGGTATACTCGTTTAATGGAGCTCCCATGCAGCAGGTCTCGCAGATGAAGGATCTAGAGGTTCTTATGACCCAAGATTTTAAACCCTCAACTCAGTGCTCCAATTCTGCTAATCAGGCTAGGGGCAACTTTTCTGGCTGTACCACAGTGACATACAGAAGGCCTGAGGTTTTCGTCCCACTGTATAAATCAATTGTTCGCCCACACATGGAGTATTGTGCGCAGGCATGGGCACCGTATTACAGGAGGGATGTACCGTGGTTAGAAAGAGTGCAATGCCTAGCCACCTGAATGGTGACTGGGCAAAAGGAGAGAAGCTATGAGCAGCAGTTGAAGGATCTTAATCTCTTTTGGCTGCAGCGTAGACGAGTTCAAAGAGATCTGATAGAGACTTTTAAAATTGTAAGAGTTCTATCGGGACTCAACCTAGATAACTTGTTTACGATTCCTCGTGCTCAAAGCACGAGAGGTCATGGCTACAAGCTTCAACAAACCACAACAGGTTGGAAGTACGGGCCAACTTCTTCGCACACAGAGTCATACCTATGTGAAACAGGTTGCACGCAGAAGTAGTCAACTGTGCCAATGTTAACGTCTTCGAAGTGTCCGTGGACGCATGTTGTTCAACAAAGTACCCCGAATTTAGTATTTAGAGGAAGAATAAATTCCACATCAGCCAAAATTTTGTGATATTGAGTAAACTCGGGCTTGATTGTTGGAATTGTTCTCTAACTGACTATCCTGTCACATTTCATCTATGTATACGAACGCATGTGTACCTGAGATCTTTAACAAATGTGACAGGGAGATATCCCGCACTAATGCAGTGGATTCCTGAGCGAGACACTACAGACGTTGAGGAATGCCTTTCGTTAGTCAAACATAACCTCCTCAACCTCCAGGATCTCTTTTCCTCATTATGATATAGCCAGCACAAGAGAAAACCTCCATGGTGGCGAGCTGGGCGGGCGGGGCCTTCTAATTCCGGTCGTGCTATCCGTTTTTTCCATCATCGGATTATTCACTGCATAACCATAACTGTGTCTGACTTTTGCATCACTCGCATGAACTTTTACCTTTGTTGCCATGTCAACTGTTGTGCTACTACAGTAATGACAAATTTGATCAAATACACTCGTGATCTCATGCATTCCATCGAACGGACCAAATAGGCAGCGACAACCTCTTTTGGGAAGACTATAAGAAATAAAAGCAAACGGACGTTCAGAAAGCTTTCGAAAAATTCGAGGAAGCATCGAGCCTGTTGGAAAGTTGCTCTTCGGAAGCAAACCATCTCCCGCTTTTGTGTTTCCATCATTCTCAGTTCTAACGTTCGATCTCTTATCGGAAACATGGCCGATCTCACCAGCTTAATCAAGCAACGGGAATATGTCCGACTAGGTGTGATCATGCTACAAGAAAGTTGGCTCCACAATGAAATTGAGGATGAGATAATACACCTGGATGGATTCGCTAGCTATCACGTCGATCGTCCTGTTCCTTATGCCCGACGGGGAGGTGGCGTTATCATGTATGTTAAGAATCAGTGGTGCCATCTGACCAAAAATGTGTTTACTTATTCCACGCGTTATATAAACGCATCGGCTATTCAATGTAAGCCCAGGAATTTGAGTTTTTCTCGGTCACTTATTCTTGTAAATGTATACATAGCCCCCTATTGCTCATCCCATGTTCTTAATGATTTTTATGATTCTCTCAACTACACTGATTGAATTCATAGATACTTCTATCTGTAGCATTTGTGGGGACTTCAATAATTTCGATACCCGTTTCTTAACCACCTTAGGTTTTCAAAACATTGTTGTTTTTCCCACCAGGCTTGACGCGCACCTAGATTTGGGTTTCATCAACCATCCCAAATTACTTCCTGTAGAACCTCGTCCCCCACTGGGAATGTCTGATCATTCTAAGTTGAAGTTTTCGCCTGTCGTCTTTAGCAGAACGAACCATCGTCTCTTTACTCGAAGTTGTGATCACAAACTTTAAGTAAGACAGCGTTCTCCAGAAAACCTCATGATGTTAAGGGAAATGATCAGAAACTCCGACCTTATTTTGTTTTCCGATCCCAAGCCTTCCGTTTTCTGTGACCAACTAACTGGTTACTTAAACTTTTGTTACAATATCTGTTGCCCTCTAGAGACAATATATATTCGTCCCGATCGATTCTCTTCCCCACACCTCAAACAACTCCGTCTTAGAAAGGAACGTGCCTTCAAAATGCATAAACGAGATGCGGTGCGCTCTCCTTCCAAATCCATTCGGGCTGAACTTCAAAGGCTAAACTCTTTATACGCCCGTGCTTTGCTTGACAACAAAGGTAGTCGTGAGACCTGGCAAGCCCTCTTGTGTATCTCTGGCATCAAATCCTCACAGCGCTCACCTGCTGCCGTAGACATAGATGGTCTGAACCGGAGTTTCATCAACGACGGAACCGCTTTCACTGCCCTAACTAATGGATATGAAGCAAACACCATTGGTCCCGTCTCCAACGTTGCACCTGTCGATATTTATAAAGAGTTGTCTCAGTTAAATCCTCAC